TACACACTGTACCACACACACACCTACACACTGTACCACACACACCTACACACTGTACAACACACACACACCTACACACTGTACCACACACACCTACACACTGTACCACACACACACCTACACACTGTACCACACACACACCTACACACTGTACCACACACACCTACACACTGTACCACACACACACCTACACACTGTACCACACACACACCTACACACTGTACCACACACACACCTACACACTGTACCACACACACCTACACACTGTACAACACACACACACCTACACACTGTACCACACACACACCTACGCACTGTACAACACACACCTACACACTGTACCACACACACACCTACACACTGTACCACACACACCTACAGCTCCTAAAGCATAAGCCGTTGTGTATTTTATTATGTGAAGCACTAAATGGTCTTAGAAACATCTGGACTCTTTGTTTGTAGATATCTACTAAACTAAAGCAAATAAAGAGAGTAGGCCTGTTATACTGAGTGATATATATTATACACACTGCTCTGCTTTCTGCATGGACCTTACAGCTGTTCTCTCTGGAAACATCGTGACGCGATGAAAGCAGTTTCTAATATAATATCCAGGGGATGCATGCAGAGCTGTCATTGGCTGAGATAAGTCCGGCCGTGCGTCACGCCTCCACCGTTCCCGGAAATGCATCCGTGGAGGAACCATCAGTGTATCCTCGGTTAGAGCTCCTCCAGAAAGACTCCTCGACGCTCGATCCTCGAGTCGAGGAGTCGAGGAGGGGAAATTTGAGTATTGAGAAACCTCTATGGAAGTCCTCTGCAGCAGGACGGGGGAGAGGAGGAAGATTCAAGATTACATTTCTTTATTGTCATTAGGTCTGAAAACACATATTGAGAGATGATGCACGAGAATGAAGTTTCTGTGTTTTCTGCTGAGTTGGATTCTCAAATTCACTCAGTTCAATGTGTTCAATATAACGTTATGATTCAGGTTTCAGTGCAAAGACGAGACAGAAATAGATTTAAATTCTTCCATTTAAAGTGTTTCTATAGATGTGTGTTCACGTGCCCCAACACATTTCATCAGAATATAACTGCGGCTGCTCGGCTGTGAAATGAGGAGCTTTTCCAACTTTATTGACACATTTCTTTTCATTCAGAATCAGAAATCTGGAACTGTACAATACAACATCAGAAAGATAGCAGATAAAGTGAGGGGGAAAGTCAATAAATAACACAAGTACACAATAAGTGATACACAAAAACAAAGTGGCATGTAAAAAATGTTGCAGTATATTTGTTGTTAAGAAGAATGACCACAGTAAAGAGCTAGCTGGTACTATATGCAAATTGTAAATAAACTGAGAGAAAACAGATCAAATATAGAAGGAGGAGAAAACAATACTGGAGAAGGCCCCACATCTTGCATGGAAACAATATGTGTGTTCCTGCGGTGATTCATAAAACAGAATCTCAGCAGCACATAGTCCTGATCACCTCATGTTCCCCCTCATGGGACAAAGGTGCAGAAAGAAAACATACACTCCAACCAGGAAGGTTATTAGAAGCTAAAATGTCTTAAGTCTCTCCAATCAGGTCGGTTACAGGAGGCTTGTTTTATACAGATTATTCTGATTCATTGTGAAATAAAGGGGACCCAGTAAATGCAGCGAGTCTGAAGATGAGGACATTTGACTGTCATGATGAACATTAACCATGAGACACTGGGTGCAAGGCAAGGTAGATTCATGATACTATTTTCATGTATGTGAATATTCAAAGTGACTGAGGCTCTAAAAGAAGAATATCTGAGATGTGGTGGAGTGGAAGCAGACAGTATTAAGTCAATGTGTTTCATGCTTTGTCTTCTCAAAGACTGTCTTCCTGTTTCTCTCTTCTCGTCGTCTCATATAGGGGTCACATGCTTTAGATCCGTCGTTGCCATAGAAACTGCACGGTTGAAGGTCTGCGTTAACGCTTGTTTGAACTCTCCGTCTGATTCGTTATCCTCTTGGGAGCTCCCACATTTTCTTACCCAGCATGCTTTGCCAGCAACTGCAGCAGTGACATTTTGTTTGTGTGTGTGTGTGTGTGTGTGTGTGTGTGTGTGTGTGTGTGTGTGTGTGTGTGTGTGTGTGTGTGTGTGTGTGTGTGTGTGTGTGTGTGTGTGTGTGTGTGAGTGCCAGATGACAGGAGAAGCAGAAAGAGACATCCCTTGATGTAAATGTGTCACCATGGCGATAGTGGGCGAGGGGGATGTTGGCCTGATAGCATGTCACCATGTCATACATGTATATTAAAAATGTCTTTAGATTGGTGCTTGTGCAAGCTGCTCCTCTACAGGACAATCAAAGTTACCGCGGCACAGATGGTTAAAGCTAGGGCCTCCTAGAAAATAGGTTCCTTTATTGAACTGTTACTGACTGAACATGTCTCTGACGTGAATCAAGAGCTGTGAGTCTTTTTGTGGATCATTTGGTGGAAAACAAACCTAATACATATAATTATTGTCCTCATTATTTTCATAGAGAAAGTAATTCAGTCGGTTTCCTTTAAGAATTATGAGTAGGTGATGCAGTGTGTGGAAGTTTCATGCAGCCTTTTTTTGCAGGATCAAGTTTCAAGCTATTAACTATCATGTGCACGGCAACTAGAGAGAAGCAGTGGTTGGCAATACAAAGCTGTCAGGCTCCCACCAGCCATGCTTGATGATGTATGGATAAGGTCATCCTGAAAGTGTGATCGTGATGATGTTGCTATCTCTCTCTCTGATCTGTTTCAGCACCTGTGCTGATTTTTCGGATAGAGCTGCAAAGATTAGCTGACGAACAAATCTAGCGTCACTTTTACCATCAGTAAACACACAATGGTAGTGCACACATACATGTAACCCTGACACATGTGACCCTTTCTATACATACAGTGGCTTTATGGCTGTGAACAGTAGATGTCCTGACACAAAAGGATAGTTCAAATCAGATGTAGTAAGAGTAAAACACAATGAAACAGTGTCCACATGAAATGACAGTCTGGATCAGGTTCCCCCACCTTCCTCCTACCCACAATCCCCTGGGGTCAGCTCCTCTTAATGAATGCAGCAGCAGTGATATTTGCTGCACTGACCGCCTGCTGACTTCAGATCTGCTGCACTGGGCATAAAAACCTGACGGCAGAGATACACAATCTGAATAGCATCAGAGACAGTCAGTTGTTTTTGATACATTGTCTCAAACATGTTGGTCTGTGCTCTGAGTCTGGGCTGCAGTGAAGGTCACCATGTGACTCACACTGAGCATGTGCAGTATGACCTCACTGTGACACACAGACTGCATGTGAGCCTGGCTTTATTGTTAGATTATTCACTCACTCTGCATGTCTCTCTAAACTGAGTCGTGACGAGACACTGTTACGTCATCCTGGAGCAATATGACATAACAGTTATTAAGGAGGATAATAGAAAGCACAGAAAAGACAATAGTAATGCCAGTATGCAACCCTGTCTGCTCAAATATTCTAGTAGTGTCAGAATGGTTTAAATGAAAGGTTACAATGTTTCGAGTCAGGTGTTGATATGAACACTGGAGCTGTATTCCCTATGTCCATACTGCACATTATTAGATCCTTTCATCCTTTTGGGGCAGCGTTTATCTGAGTCAATGAAACAGAGTAGATGCAACACTGCATGTTGTAATGAACACTGACTTTGGAAGATCTTCACTTGCAGTATAAAAGTGTTGCAGTAAAACAGCATCACCTCTCTTTAGCTTTACCCAGGAACCTGTGCGTTGTTCAACTATAAAAACATTAAAAAACATTTACTTTTCTTTGAATGTTTTAGGGAAAAATATGAAATATCTGTTGGTTTATGTTTTCAAATCTTTACAATAAAAACATGATATACTGTACGTACAACTATGTTATTTAAAAAAAAAAAGTCAAACAAAGATTACAATACAAAGAAACTAATGGATGTCTATGAAGTTGGTTAAAAACTCATCATTTATATCAGAATAATATTTATATATTTTATAAAAGTAATTTTTACAATATAAAAAGTGAATTTATCTATTGTTTTCCTGTTTGTACAAAAAAACAATGTTTAGCAGATGAAAGCAGCGAGTGGAGAGAGTTTGGTGTTCAGACTGTTAGAGGATCAGAGGAGTGCAGGCTGGAGCAGCCGCAGGACAACTTAGATAACATGTTATCTAACACACACACATGGAGCCAGAGTGACAGATTTGAGCCATGACTTAGTTCATTTATTTTCTTTAAAATATGGACATCAGAGTAGTGTTCAGGGAATATGTTCCTAGAGCCACACCTTTGACCCAGTGTATCAGTTTGTACTGCCCTCACTGAGCACAGGCCTGCAACCTTGGGATGCTCTCAGTGTTTTGTCTCCCTGTTCCTGCCTGTTGGCGTCAGCTGATGGAGGAGTTATAGTGCTTTGCAGCATGATGATTATTCTCTCAGAGCTAAATACATGGGTCTCGGGAAAGATATTCAGAATTGGTTTGGCACCGCTGTGTTTGTCAATGCTACGGCCGTAACTTCAAATCAATTCTTCAGTGTTTGCCATCATGTCCCAGCTCTCCTGTGTTCTCATTGTGTTTCGACTCCATGCTCCAGAGGTTTCTATTGCAAGTAGCATTATAATGGTAACATATATATTTGTGCATAAGAACCAGATGTCCTGTACTGTATGTATACAATGCTAATCCTCAAAGCTAAAGCTAAAGACTAAAAGGAAATGAAAATAAATCCATACAAAATACAAAAGGTGTCTGTACAGGGTGTGAGCGGAGAGATTTAACTGTTCCCTCAAACAGGTCTCCACAAGGGTTGATTGACAGATGACCAATAGTATTCCACCAGAGCGCTTGGAGCATTTCCACTGACGCTGCCTCTGAACAACAAACCATTTGGTGGAGGCACCACCCTGTGTGACAGTCTCTCATCCATCAGTCTAACACCTCCTCCTCCTGCTCCTCCACCTGCAGGAGGCACTGCCCAGTGTGAAGATGGCTTCCTACGATCAGCTGGCCCACCAGGTGGAGGCGCTCCGTAAGGAGAACTCCCACCTGAGAAGGGAGCTGGAGGATAACTCCAACCACCTGTCCAAACTGGAGACCGAGACCACCGGCATGAAGGTCAGTGTGGAGAGTACACCAACCAGGGGCGGCGGGTACTGTAGGCTAGGGAAGGCTAAGCCTTCCCAAATATTTTTGTCACTGCATCCTGGTAAAATAAAAATATAATGTTTGTGTCTTTGACATTAGCGCTGCTATGCAGCCACCTGTGCCCTGTACCACGAAGCCAGTTCAACAGACCCTGGATATGCTTGAGTTATCTTAACTAACCCTAACAAACGCGATCTCGCTAAACGGTCCTACGGCGCTGGTTATCAACTCGGTAAATCAAGCCAGGGTTTCTCTCTCCAGCTGAGAACGCGTTCACGTGAAAGGGGCGGGGTTAGCTACATTTGACCAATCACAAACAGGGACAAGTGTACTGACAGCGCAGCGTCATACTTCATTAATGAAAAGTAAACTAATATTAGACAAATATTAACTTTAACCATCCATGATGACTTAAACATATAATCCAGGATACAAGCCACATAGTTGCACCTGCAAGGAGAATACAGAACAACTCGTTAAAAAATAACTACCAAGTGTTTGAAAGCGTACAACAGTTTTATGATATCACTGCCCCATCGACACTATGGATCTGACTTTAATTAGGCTACATTTGACTTGAGTGTTTCGTCAAATTAATGACACTATAAGTGTTGCACGGCCAGATACGGCTCGAGAAGCTGACTCAGATAAGGAAATATTGTGATATTATTATATGATCGATGATCTGATTGATGATGTGATGTCAGTGTGATATGAATGATAAGTGCGACACGCCGGCGTCTTCTCTGCATACGGCAGTTTAAACTGTATTTCCTTTTTCCTGTAATATGACTTGATAGATTTAAACTCCGCACACTGAGCTCTGATCGGTCAGCAGGCGGTGCTTTCACTGAGTTGATCTCTTTTCTATAGACGCCGGAGGCGGGCAGCGTCAGGTAAAAAAAAAGTGATTCAGCCCTCCCAAACCTGAGCCTCACGCGCCGCCTATGACACCAACACCACCATCACCACCAAATCCAATGCAAACCACCAACACAGCCAAAACCAACCTAACACCACCAACACAAACAGCAACACCGACAACATCAACACCACCAACTTGACTAACACAGATTTAAAGGAGCTAACCGTTGGTTTTACCTTAAAACTTCATACCGTGTATACTTTATTTTCTGCTGAGAACTTTTCCCAATCATCCGTCATGTTTTATGTTCTTCACCACCTCTTTGTGTCAGCCTCAGATGCCTGTAAACTGATGGCTCGTGTAGAGAGTGAGAAGTAATGGGAGCACATGGTGATTTGTAGTCAGGCTGCAACATTGGTTTCTGAGGTCACCTCATTGTTTTTCTTTGTCCATGCTTTGTTCTGGACTGGAACCAGAATATTTTGAGGCTATCTATCGAATTACTATAACAATTATTTAACCATCACAATTGTTGCCAGTACATTTGTGAATTAATTCTTCATAAATGTGTAGTTCATTAAAAAAATAAAGTAAACAAATGCTGATATGGTCCTTTAATGTGATTGACACTGTAGAAAGTGAGCTTTTTGAACATATGGGTATGGGTATTACAGCTCTGGAGACCACTCCACATTGTCTGTTGAATTCCAACACAGATACATGTAGTCAGTAGTTTATAGAATAAATTAAAAAAGCTATAGATAGCACATTCAAATCTGAGTGAGTCCAGATTGGCACAATTTGTGCGTGACGTTGCGTCTGCGTTACAAGGCACAAGAATTGTGAGGCTTATAAAGTGAGGCAAATAGAAATAATCATCTGATCGATTGTACATGTGGAAACAGCAACAAAATAGGTACATTTGATCAGCTGACGGTGTTTGTTGCCACACTTCTGACAATAACCTTGCACACCTTCTCTGAGGTGCAACGTCACAAACAAATGATGGTCCTGTTATACTTTTTTAATTTTTTAATTTAATGTTATCACAATAAAAGTGTTGTTTCTTAGTGAATTTCCTTTACTGGTCTTGTATCTCATAACATAAGCTTTAAGTGTCCTTGTGGATGTTCTTCTTCTTCATCAGAGAAGGAGAACATGGTGATGCAGCGGTGTCTTTCAGGCATGACAAGAAACATAACACATGACATAACTGAAGAGCAGTGTGTCTTTAGGGGCTGTAGATATAGTGTTATAAGTGTTTTTTAAATTCAGCTGTGTACTACAATGAGATTATCAATGTTCATCGGCATTAAAATATCAGTTTTTATTCAAATTATATTTTTATTTGTTGCCAAAACTTAACGTAGAAACATGCTGTTTTGTTTTCTCACTGCAATAATCACTTTTACCATGTTTCTTTACAGACAATATGTAGAGACAAATGTTAGTGTAGTTCCGTGTTATCCAACATTTTAGCAATAAGCTTGACTCCAACAAAAACATACTTTTCAGGTAAGTTTGACTGTTTACTTCAAACAAAGTGGTGGCAGTACTAAAGAAACACATTGTTTAGAGTTCAAAATCCATTTTGCTCCGTGGCGCTATGACGTCAATTTCATTACGGCTGGTTTAAATCAATGATATAATAATAATGATAATAATAATAATAATAATAAAGAAATACAATGTTCTAATATATATAATATATCAAATTATACATTTTAACATGTGGCTCCTACAATTAGCAATTCTCAATCTTTGCCTTAAATACATGTAAACGCCAAAGCTATTTGAATAAAAACACCAGTAAAATATAAATAGAGAACTAGAATTTACTTACCGAAGAAACCACATTCATGGACGATCCGTTTTAATCGCAGAGCAAGCCATGAAGATATTTGCTATTTGCATTAAATATCAAAAAGAAACCAACACAACACACACGGCCGTGGTCAAGTTATGTTCCCCCGATAAGATCATGTGTCTGAGCCGCCTGTAGCACAGAGCTGCTAACAGAGGACCGGAAGCCACACGCTTCCCGTACTGCGTGATGTGAAGTGAGTCTCTCACTGAAGCTGGTTCACTACAGGCATAGGCGGAGTTTGACATTTGCGCTTGGGGGGGCAAACCTTTTTTACTGACGTCAGTACACAGTCCCAACTATTGCGTGGGGTGCTACGGATACAGAAGCAATAAAACCAGCGTTCACCGCACTGAGTATGACTTTTCCACATACGAACACAACTCGTACCGTCATGCAGGCCTCATGACCGCCGTACACACACACTCATATGGAAGGGGCGGTCTCTCCTCCCAACAACAGTACATTACATCTGTAAAACGTATCATAACTGTGCACATCTTATACTTATTTGATAACTACTATATCCCTTGGTTACTTCAACACGCTACAATATTATTAACCAGTGTACTTAGTGCAGAAGTAGACGTCCCAGAAATTGGACGTTTTAAAAATCGCCGCATATCTTATTGTAATACAATAGCTGAATCACTTGTATGTAAAAAAAAAAGCGAGGGAACTTGTGTCCTTAACCTCATACGTCACACACACATCACACACACACACGTCACAACATGTGACTGCTCAAAAATGAAATTATTTCAAACAAAATATGATATTATTCAGATTTGTATTGTAACAATCATTATATTACATCTATTAAAATATTGATGTATGAAATATTTGTATTGGAACAGTTTTAGAAGTAGTAATGCTGTAACATATTTCAGCCACTAGGGGGGGCAATGCCCCCCCTGCCCCCCGGCAAAATCCGCCTATGACTACAGGTACCCGTACTTCTGACTTTAAAGTCAGAATTCTGATCTTAAAGGTGGGGTAGGTAATTTTGGAGAAACCAGAGGCCTGTACTACGAAGCTGGTTCAACCTAACCTGGATATCTTTGAGTTAGCCGGTTGGCCTAATCCAAAACATACGTGCTCTCGCTAAACTGTACTACAACGCGGGCTATCAACTCGTTCGCTCAAGCCAGCCATGTCCTATCTAGTTAGGTGCACGTTCACATGAAAGGGGTGGTATCTGGAGCATTCGACCAATCACAAACATGGAGAAGTGTAATGACAGCGCAGCGTCATACTTCCTGAATGAAAAGTTAACTATTAGTCAAATATGAAGAAGTTAAACTTTAAATATCCATGACTTAAACACTTGATCCAGGATCAAAGCCACAGAGCTGCACCTGCAAGGTGAATGCAGCTGGGAACAGAACAAGTGTTTGAATGCGTACATTAACAGGTTTATGATATCACTGCCCCGTCCAAGACACGAGTGGATCTGACTTTAATTACATTTGTCTCAAGTGTTTCGTCAACTTAATGTGTTGCTTAAAATAATCCTTCTGCATACAGTATGTGACACTGTGAGTGTTGCACGGCCAGATACGGCTCAGCTGACACATTATGATGTGATATGCCGCGGACTATACTTAATGTTACTCTGATCCGGTTACTTATGTTGTGGCAGATATTTAATTAAGCTTTCTTAACGCTAATGTTATAATAGTCAGATTGCTCTGAAGATGGGAGGTGATATTCTATTAATGTTCACGTTCACACAGTATGTGATTTTTGCCGGCCGTCTTTCCTGTAACGGCAGCTTTTCTGTATTTCCTTTCTCCTATAATATGACTTGATCGCTTTAAACTCCGCACACTGAGCTCTGATTGGTCAGCAGGCAGTGCTTTCACTGAGTTGATCTCTTATACCTCATTCACACCAACGCAACTCCGGTTCAAGCTGCGTGCTAGAGCTTTTCAGGTTCAGAACCGGTTCTTCGGTTTAGCGGAGGCTCTTTTCACACCGCCCAGAGTCCGACTGGTGCTGCATCATTGCGTCATCGGTTGCGTCATGACGTAACCGTTTGCGTGCCTGCTTCATAAAGCCAAACCGCCGGAAACCCCTCACAGCTGACACCGACAACAACAACAATGGCCGATTGTGCTCCAGCTTCCTCTGTACCTCTTCGGAAGACCAGATTCCCAGTAGGTAGCTGGTCTCTTCAGTGGACCACTGCTGCTTGTTAAGTTTCTCCATCGTTATGTACAAGCTGGATAAAACGCGGGC